TTGAACCATTCCTTATTTGTGTCACCATTGATCCACAAATTGAACCATTCCTTCGTTGAGTCACCATTGATCCACAAATTGAACCATTCCTTCGTTGAGTCACCATTGATCCGCAAATTGAACCATTCCTTCGTTGAGTCACCATTGATCCGCAAATTGAACCAATCCTTTTAGTTGTGTTACCATCGATCCACAAATTGAACCAATCCTTAGTTGTGTTACCATCGATCCACAAATTGAACCAATCCTTAGTTGTGTTACCATCGATCCACAAATTGAACCAATCCTTAGTTGTGTTACCATCGATCCACAAATTGAACCAATCCTTAGTTGTGTTACCATCGATCCACAAATTGAACCAATCCTTAGTTGTGTTACCATCGATCCACAAACTGAACCAATCCTTATTTGTGTCACCATCGATCCACAAACTGACCAATCCTTATTTGTCTCACCATCGATCCACAAACTGACCAATCCTTATTTGTGTCACCATCGATACACAAATTAAACCATTCCTTATATGGCTTAAAAACATTTACAATTATTACTTTTATTTAAGATTTGTACTTTTACATTATTCGTTTATTAATACTACTATTATTATTATTTGTAAACCCGTTGATAAATCAGTCATTTGAGTTTCTTGATTAGTTGATCGCTCAGTTAATGCCATTTCAAAGTAAAATTTTAAATGAAACGTCACTTCCCTCTGTTTCACAATAAGGTTTCATTTTGCAAGCTTCAGTTTTATCCCGCTGTGATTTATTGAAAGGAAGAAGTAATATGACCGGAGAGGTTGGAAACCGATTCTCCAAAATTCGATCTCTTTCTTCATACACCGTCGAGACCAAAATAAATAACCTCAATGTCACCGCCACGTCGTGCCATATTTATTAAATAAAAGGAATAAAATAGTCCGTTTTATTTTTATATTTCATGATCAGAACCCAAGTACATAGGATGAATTAGTTACTCACTATTTAACCAGTACTGGCATAAGTAATACATTATTTAATACAACCTGAATCTGAATCATGAAATATAAATTTTCCACGACCTTATAGTTCCAAAACCAATAATCCTGCTCGCACCATCCCAAACTGAAAGCTTTTCGACTAAAAATACCCCGCGGTTCGAAAACTCATAAAAATTCAAGGTTTCTCCAAAACAGGCTACATTTGCGTTTAAAGGTAAAGTCAATCCTTTCAAAAAAAATCAATATTTTACTATGGGCTTTTTTAGGCTACATAATGCATTAGGCATTTTTCTTTTGGGTTACATTGCATTGTATTTTATTCCGAGTGTATTAAACAGATCTAATATTAGAGAGATATCATGTGTACTACATACAAATTTGTAGTTATATACTTAATTGGCTCATTTTCTATAAATTAAAAATTTAGTAGACTTCATCTTAAAATTAGTAAAACTTATTTTATTTCATATTTCATGGTTGGATTCCCAATTTGAAATGGATTTAAATAGTTTCTATTCAACAGCTTGTTATGAGAAATAATTCTTATAGGTGTACTTTTAATTTCCTAGACATATTTCAAAACAGATTGCATTTAAGTAAATTGAATACCATATTATATTTCTTAAAATTAATTTTCTGCTCCTTTTCTAGAATACGCTCATTTAATTTATTGGTTGTTTTATGATGATATTTGCTCAAAATAATTTATAAGAAACATTTCATTTTCCACCCATTGCAAATACATGTATTGGGTTTATAATATGGAGGAAGTTGTGATTAATGGGGTTCTACCATAATTAGAATTCTAGATGAAGCAATTGCACAATGAGGAATTTTCATTTATTTTTAATTGGTGGTTATCATAAGTAAGATTTATATTTACCATTAATTATATTCTTAATATTCTATATAACATAATAAATCTATATTTCTTTTTAAATTTTTAACCTAAAATCTACTTAAAAAGCTTCTCATGGCAAATACACATGTAGCAAACGCATCTCCCAGACATAATAATTTAATTCATAATAATACTCAAAATGAATTGCATACCACAATGATAAATATGTAGGAGAAAATTGTAACAAGATATAAAAGTTTTTGTTTTGCTTAAATTGACACTAAAGAATTTGTAAGATGAATGACAATTTTGAATTCAGTCCTGCGAAACTCAAGTTGACCTTATTTATTTCGCCATTATTTATAATGCATCGTTAAAACAATTCTACAGTAAAATCGTCGTTTATGTCACTTCTTAGCGACGTAAGACATAATAAATGGAGACTTGTAGGCGTCAAAATAACTTCAAACTTAATTAATAACCGCACAACTAAGAAGTATTGATGAAATCATAAAAAAAATCTCATCAGCGAAAAATTGACGCTGTTATTCACCGCGAATTAAGTTAAAGAATCCTAAACGAAGTTACGGTAGTTTACTGAAATGCTCACAAACATCGCCCCGCATTTTGTAAATCATCGCCGATTTGACGTCTTGGCGAAGACGATTGCCCTAATATAGGATCCAGCCCAATTCTACTACAATGACCAACCAAGTCTGTTTTTTAATCTTTTATTTAGTTTATTGTCGAGTATTTGCTACATTATTTACCTCTAATAATTTAGAATTAATAATGAATGAGAGAATTATAAATAAAAAATAAATATCATGATTGATTGAATAACAAAAGTCATAATTATCTATACCTTATGCGAAAGGCAAGAAATGGTAGATCGGAATTAAACACATATACTATATAATTATTAATTAGATGTATGAATATCTGATATTTATGTTATTAAAAAAAACAATTATAACTCAAGCGCAATCATACTGTGTTGTAAGATAAAACTCAAAATAATCGCCTCCATGTTCCACAAGACATACAAAATTCGAGTTAAAAATCAAATACAGCAAAATATAATAATATCAACTAAGTGCAAAGGATGAACCATTGTTCAGTGCAAAAGATGAAGCATTGTTCAGTGCAAAAGATGAAGCATTGTTCAGTGCAAAAGATGAAGCATTGTTCAGTGCAAAAAGATGAAGCATTGTTCAGTGCAAAAGATGAAGCATTGTTCAGTGCAAAAGATGAAGCATTGTTCAGTGCAAAAGATGAAGCATTGTTCAGTGCAAAAGATGAAGCATTGTTCAGTGCAAAAGATGAAGCATTGTTCAGTGCAAAAGATGAAGCATTGTTCAGTGCAAAAGATGAAGCATTGTTAAGTACAAGAGATGAAGCGTTAATAAAAAGGAAATAGGAAAAAAATAACTTCAAATAAACATAGAAAGGAAACATTCACATTACATAACAAAATCGCAAAAAACAACCAAACGTTACTATATACTTGATAACATCAGAAAAAACTGCAGGCCACGAAATAACTAGTATATTTAAAGCTTTCCTTATTAAGACTCTTTGCCGTTAAAATTTTGTACAATTCAGAAGTAGGTGTTCGAAATGATGATCACTTTATCCTCAATTGCAATGGAACTCACTGCTTGAATTGGTTAATGGTGCCGAGTTCAGCCAATACAGAATCCAAGATTGTCATAAAGATAAGAACATAACTTGCCATTAAATGAAACAAAACAGTGACTCCCATCCAACTAGACTTCTAAAAGTAAAAATTCGGATCTTACGACACTCTACAGAAAAAAAATGTTACAATGATGTTTTTTAAAAAAAATTACAACGTACACTAACAATAAATTTCTTAAAAAGTCTATTTAACAAACCATTTGATAAAAATACTCATCATTTAACCTCAAATATAAATACAGCAGGTACAGTTTCATTAAAAACTTCGAATTATGCTCTTCTATTCCACTTGCGATCTAGAGGGGTAATCTTGATAGTAGGCAATCTATCTTAACTTTCTACGGGCCGCATTTTTTATTAATTACAAAAAAAAAATTATGCAACTGATAATCAATTATAAACCTATATACTCAGATTTAAAAAAAATATGTGACAGTTTAAATAATTTTATTATAATTAATTCATTTTGTAACAACGTCTTACAATGTTTACATTTATGAGCATACTATAAAAGTTTAAGCTTGAAATTGTATAAAACAGTTTGCACTTGGCTTTAAACATAGATATAATTTGTATTTGAAGCATTTTATTTTTGTAATTCTTTTACAATCCAGATTTTTACAACGTCCTGTGTTGTCCGAAATAATTGGCAAATGTACTACTTCATCTCTTAGCTGAAATAATAAATCTAACAAAGAATCTTCGTATCTATTACCGCTAATACATCTAATTATGTGAATTTATCATATTTTGGGTATATGATAAATAAATTTGAAATTAGAAGAACGCACAAGCATTATCCTAAATGTTCCGAAATCTACCATAATAGCCCACAATAAACTGAAAGTAACAAAATGATTATTGAAATCCAAACAAATAAGTTATTATTGATATACAAACCTGGAGCTGTTATGTACTCCTTCTATTTATTCAGTAAATACTGCCAGAATATAATGTCATTTGCACAAGATGGTTCCGTTGATTTCAATTTGCAGATTTATTTACTTTGATATTTCTGGTAGATGGTGCTGCCAACTGTCATCAGTAATGTTATTAGTTATCTCAGAGACGGCATATGATTAAGATGTATACTTCATCTAGTGAAAGTACTAAAATTATTGGATAAAATGATGATATATTAGCATGTGACCTGAAATTTATCCTGGCCTATAGGGGTTTAATAGTTCTTAATCCAATAAATGAAATTTTTCATAGTAGACATCGAATCTGTTTGGTTTATCGCTCTACTGTCATGTTTTGCATACTTTGGGCTAATTACACCGGGACCTACAGTTTAACTTGAATTCCTAACCACTAACAAACATTGATGTCATCCTCCAGAAATTGAACCTGAAGCCTGTGGTACTAAAGGCCAGGTTTGGTTATGTTTGTATCTCTACGGTCATCTTGTGTACACAAGGGCTAAACAGACCGATATCTACAGTTTAAAGTTGATTCTGAACCCCTCATAAACATCCATTTCATTGCCAGGATTCGAACCTGGAGCCTGTGGAACCAATGGCCACAGCACTAGCCAATTGGACACCGGGCTACACTAAAAGCCAGAGATCTAAACAATTGGCCATCAGGCAGAATCGGAGATTCTTGAGTTTCATTTTACACACATTTCAATTAAGTTATCAAAATAAATTCCATTTTGTGTTGTACATTTTTGATTTAAAAAAACTTTGGCAAAAAAACTGCTTTGAATAAAATACACAAGATGTTGTTTATGTGTGAATTTCTAAATTTATTCTAAAAGTTTCATTTCATTTTTTTAAAAAATCGACTTTTCAAGAGAGATATTAAATTTTTACGTAATGGAAGACCGTTGACAACAGGGATTAATATCATTTCAAACAAAGATGTTATTAAGTGGTGATATTTTAAATGTGCGTGACAGGTTTAACAAATTCAAACAAGATCTTAGTGCATGCTTTCAAAACAAAGTTTTAAAGTTAAAAAAACACAAACACAAACGCTTCAAACTTTTAATACATTTTTTAAAATTAAACTTCATGTCAGAATTTTTTTTTCTTATGCACAGTATTTCAGTAAATTATGTCACATTTCTTTTTTCGTGGTAATGATAATGATAAAAAAAATTTCCTTATTTACAATGCATTATTAAGAATGATTTTATAATGCCTTTCACCTTTTTTTACGTGTAGCTCTTTTTATTTTTTTTCCTACAATTTTGTTATAAAGATTAAATGTTTCTGATTGCAAAATTAAAAATAATTTCATCTTAAATGTGTTTTTCTGTGACATGTTTAAAAAAACAGGATAAATTTAAAGGTTTATCGAAATGCGAGAATACTTCATGTCATAATCAGTCGAAATTTTTATTCAATGTTTAAACATTGATATTTTTTTCTTGTAGAGAAAGCTTAGAAAAATGTACAATACAATTATATATAATGAAAATAAATTTATCATTATTAATTAGAATACAAGTGTCGGGTAAATTCGTTGAAAGGAAAAATAACATTCATCCAGGCATTTTTGTTGTTGTTGTTGTCTTTTTCTTTTCAAAGTACTTCAAGTAAAAAAATTTCAAAATTTTGCATTCGTTAATGACTAAATTAAAATATATAAAATCTATCATTTTGCTTTCTTCGTAGAAGTCGAAAATTATTCAGAAAGATAAAATTTGGATATGTCTTCTAGTATACATTATTATACAGTAAAACATAGTGATGTATAATTGATGATTATTTTTTGAAAAACTAATATTTATTTTTGTAAATGCTTATTTATTTTTTAAATATATTAAAAAATAAATAAACATTAGGCTTTATAAAAAGAGATGAATTTAAATAAGTCAACAAAACAAAATGAACATAAGTTTTTACATGCTCAAAATTTGAGATTCATAACGATTCATCAGTAAAGAAGATTATACAGTCTGTTCAAACATAATTTTATCATAATAAGTTTTATTTCTCACATAAGGAAGCTCATGTTCCACATATTGTGTGACGAACATTTCTTAACTGACCGAAAAAGAAAATGAATGCCTTCTGAACTTATTACTACGCGTACTTAATGCCTTACTATTATGTATTTGAGCAAGAAGCTCAAATGCATCATCACAATTACCCTCAAATCGCGTCGGTTTTGAAAATGACTGACGAAAAGCAATGACTCCAAAGCACGCTATCAGTCTACTAGAATTTAAATCTAGTCTACTCATAATAGTTTAAAGTATAAATAACGAAAGTCAATAGTAAAAATAGATGAACTAGTAAAAAATATAACTAGTAATAAATGGAAATTTCTTTATGAAATTTGAATGTGTTGTATTAACATAGAAAGAGTAGACATTTTCGATTATTGCAAATTAATTATGTACAAAGTTAATTATTTCTTTTAATGATATACTTCATTCCCTAAATTTATAATAATTTTTAAATCTAGATATTTGAAGACTTTCTATAATACAATTTTACATTTTTTTTTTTTTTTTACAACAATTCAAATATCTGATGATAATTGTCTTAGGAAACAAAATTGAGAAAATTTGTAAATCTATTTAAAAACTGTACTAATTTCTTGCCTACGCCATTCCATACTACCCAATTATAACTACTCTACATTAATACAACCACATCATAACTGCTCTACATTAATACCAGCCACATCATAATTGCTCTACATTAATACCAGCCACATCATAACTGCTCTACATTAATCCCAGCCACATCATAACTGTTCTACATTAACATCAACTAGATCATAACTGCTCTATATTAATACCAACTAGATCATAACTGCTCTATATTAATACCAACTAGATCATAACTGCTCTATATTAATACCAACTAGATCATAACTGCTCTATATTAATACCAACTAGATCATAACTGCTCTATATTAATACCAACTAGATCATAACTGCTCTATATTAATACCAACTAGATCATAACTGCTCTATATTAATACCAACTAGATCATAACTGCTCTATATTAATACCAACTAGATCATAACTGCTCTATATTAATACCAACTAGATCATAACTGCTCTATATTAATACCAACTAGATCATAACTGCTCTATATTAATACCAACTAGATCATAACTGCTCTATATTAATACCAACTAGATCATAACTGCTCTATATTAATACCAACTAGATCATAACTGCTCTATATTAATACCAACTAGATCATAACTGCTCTATATTAATACCAACAAGATCATAACTGCTCTATATTAATACCAACAAGATCATATCTGCTCTATATTAATACCAACAAGATCATAACTGCTCTATATTAATACCAACAAGATCATAACTGCTCTATATTAATACCAACAAGATCATAACTGCTCTATATTAATACCAACAAGATCATAACTGCTCTATATTAATACCAACAAGATCATAACTGCTCTATATTAATACCAACAAGATCATAACTGCTCTATATTAATACCAACAAGATCATAACTGCTCTATATTAATACCAACAAGATCATAACTGCTCTATATTAATACCAACAAGATCTTAACTGCTCTATATTAATACCAACCACTGAGAATTAATCACAACCATAACATATTTTTCCACTTTTATTAACTGTATTTTAATATTGATTTTTTTTTAAATTTGTTATTGTTAATTTCAATGTTTCACATTTCCATTAAAAAATTAGGCGTTTTACAGTTTTACTTTTCTCATTACTCATTTTCCACTATAAATAAAATTTCAAAGCATATTTTTCATCCCAGTACTATCTACAAAAGTTAACCAACGCTTATATTAAACAAATGCAATGTAATAAGTTTAATGCAACGAAACTGACTCATAAATATTCCCACTTTTTTTTTAAAAATCAAGCATTTGTGAAAAATAAAATTCCCAATTTGATACGATTATTCTACTTTCCCATGAAAAGATTTAATGGTATTTCCGATAGAAATCACTCAGTAAACGAGCGATGACATTCAGCACTTTCCATTTTTTGAGATAAAATACGTTGTGTCCTGGGAGAAGGAAATGAGAGTCACAAATCCATGCATAATTTTACCCGAGATAACGCACTGAGCAGGACAATCAGGACAATTCTGACAACGACGGGGAAGACTTCTTCCGATCAAAAACGCTGACTCGAAGTATCTTCTCCGCCACCATTAGTCCAATTTTTATACGATTAATAGAAAGATGGAAAGAAACAGATGCTTCTTTGCCCTACCGTCCAAAAAAACTAATTTTTCATCTAGTTTTTTTACCCTCCTAAAAAGGTTTTTTGTGGGGGGAAGGCGGTGTAAAAGTTATGTTATTAATGCATTTCCCTGACTCTGCCGTTTCTTGTTTTCAATCAACATTTGGATATCACATTTAGAAAAAACAACAAAAAAATACACTAAATAATTTTCAGTTGCATTTATAATAAAAAGGAAATATTATTTATCTTTTGTAAAAATTTAATCTATTCTGGAATATTGAAATGTTTGCATGAATTTTTCATTGATTAAAATTGTTTTAACAAAATTAAAATCTGCTGAAAAACTGTTTACTACTGTTGCATTTTTCCCAAGAGAAGAGTTGTAGAATTTCGTTCCCAAGAGAGAGGAATGTATATTCTTTAACAAGAACATAATAACTTATCAATCATATTTGACAGCCGATCAGCAGTATTGCGGATATTTATATTACATGCAATTAGTGTTTAGTGTTAATGATAACTTGTCACTCAAATATGACAAATAATCAGTGTCATGAATAATTTGACATCAGGAAATTAACGATTGTCTGTGCGACCTGCACAGGTCGAAACAATTACAAATGGAATATGGATTACACCATGAGTTGTTGCATGGTGATAGACCACAGGCTGAGAAAGTGTCTACTCAAATCAGAAGTAAGGGAAGCTGACCCCTTTCCCTCCTTCAATGATTAGACTATTCATTGAGTGTCCGTATCGCACTGCCGGATACAGAATTAGTCAAAAAACATAACAAATTTTCCCAAATTTATTAACATGTGTAGTTTTCCGTTCATTTATTTAAGTTTCGTTATTGTTAGTATTTAAATGCCTTACATTGCCAGTCTGATAAAATTAGACATTTTACAGTTTTTACTTTTTTCATTACTCAATTTTCACTATAAATCAAATTTTAATATATATTTTTCATCCTAGTACTATATACAAAAGTTAACCAATGCTTTTAATAACAAATGCAATGTAATAAGTTTAATGCAAACAAATACAACGAAACTGACTCACAAATATTCCCCCTTTTTTTTAAAAAAAAACAAGCATTTGAGAAAAATAAAATTCGCAATTTGATACGATTATTCTACTTTCCCATGAAAAGATTTAATGGTATTTCCGATAGAAATCACTCAGTAAACGAGCGATGACATTCAGCACTTTCCATTTTTTGAGATAAAATACGTTGTGTCCTGGGAGAAGGAAATGAGAGTCACAAATCCATGCATAATTTTACCCGAGATAACGCACTGAGCAGGACAATCAGGACAATTCTGACAACGACGGGGAAGACTTCTTCCGATCAAAAACGCTGACTCAAAGTATCTTCTCCGCCAT